AGCAGCCATTAAGTTTTAGACATTGTTTTGGTTATTTCAATGCGGAGGTTTTTGGTCCAATAATTAAAACCTCTGTTTTTTTTTTTAGAATTTAGCAGTAGGAAATTGCTAGTCATCCAGTTTTTTTATGATTTTTTAAAAATGCCAACTATGCAATCTGTTAGTTTTGCGAATTTGTATGTTTCGTCATTAGGCCACTAATACAGTTCACTTGAAGGAGCGAATGAAAACGAGTGATGGAAATTATGTATAAACCCCAATTAAACAATTTAAAGGGGTCATATGATGTTGCTAAAAAGAACATTATTTTGTGTATTTGGTGTAATGAAATGTGTTTATGCGGTTTAAGGTTAAAAAACATTATTTTCCACATACTGTACATTATTGTTTCTCCTCTATGCCCCGCCTTTCTGAAACGCCTCGATTTTTACAAAGCTCATCGGTTTGAAAAGCGAGGTGTGCTTCGGTTTGAAAGGCGAGGTGTGCTCTGATTGGCCAGCTATCCAGTGCGTTGTGATTGGCCGAATACCTCAAGCAGTGACGGAAATGTTACGCCCCTTGCCATATTGTGAGAAAGGAAAAATTGAAATCGCATCATATGACCCCTTTAATAATCAATTTACAATGAATTTATACCTATGTTGTATTACGCTGTATGCCGTGGGACGAGCGCTTTGTAAAATGAATGAATGGATGTGTGATTCAGCTGTGGGTGCCGCCTTCTAGTGAGACACGGCAATTCATTCACACGCAACTCCCACAGTGCATTATGGGTATTCTCTAGCCGTTGAGCATACATCAGTTGTACACTTGTTATTGCTGTGCATTGTGGTATTGAATGAGTGCGCTCGATAATGTCCACTAAGGTTTCGGACACCAGTAAAATTGGCTGTCTGCTCAAATATTGCCCTATTTAAAGGTATAGGGGGCAATTTCGGACACAGGAAGTGACTTGCTGCCACCAACTGGCAGTTTTAGTTTCATTTTTAAAATATAATTTCAGTTATTTAATATTAATATAATATATTTAAAATCATTTAATATTTCTGTATTCAAAATATTATATTTAAAATATTAATCTCAACATGAATTTAATTGCACTCATGCCACCTCTCAGCCTCATCAAATGTCTGTAAATATACCTACATCCACTTTTGTGTTCTTCTGTGCCACCTCTGTAGTGCAAATTAATTTTGTTAATACTGATTTTATTTGATCTGTAACTTATTCTGCTTATTCTATTGTTTTAATTAGAAATTTTGAAAAAAGCTTATAAATATAAACTTTTGAATTTGATTTAAAAGATGACGTACTTTCAATAAAATTTGAAAAAATGCCATTACAAAGTTTAAAAAATGCAACTGTAAGTCACTTTAAGTAGTCAAATATCATCTCATTATGGAAAGTTCTCTCTTAAGTTCTAGACAGAAATTCTAAAACTCTTCTATGTTGCAACATTCTGGCGGTTTCTCTGCGGATTAGGTTAATGAGAAATACTGTAACTCAAGGTAGTGTATTAGAAAGCTCATCCACCTCAGTGCATAATGCTAGTCAGTAAGGTGTAGGATAATTACTCTGTGCTGTGCATGAAGTCATATCATCAGAGAAAATGAAAGCCCTCACATTCTCTGCAGGTGGGCTCATGCAGCCTAAGCTCCTGAAATATGGTTGTCCACACATTTTTTTTTACACTCAATATAGAGGATTTCAACTCCATGGTGTGATGGTGTGTCCTCTGACATTGAGGTATTTGAGCTTTTTTGATCGCAGAAGTGGTAACTATGGCTCCATGCTGCCTCCATACTCGTAACTAATGTATTTACTTTTTTTACTAATGTATAATTTTATTTTGCATTACATTTGTGCATTTGGTGGATGCTTTTATTCAAAGCGAGTTGCGTTGCATTCAAGATTTTATTAGACATTTTATCAGTTACATGCATTCCCTGGGAACTGACAATTGCAATGCTAGCACCATCTACTGTTTGAGCTATAGGAATGAAGGCTCCACTAATGAAGTCATTAATTAATTTAATTTGTCTCATTTGCCATCTAAAAGCAGGCCTATGGAGGCTGATGCTTCCAAATTAAGATAAGATTATTGGCTTTCAAACATTAAATGGGTAGTAAATTGCAATTTGCCACAACTGGAGCTGCCCTCCGTATCTCCCTCTCCGTGTTTGTGTGTAATTTGGGTGGTTGCCTGCTTTGCTCATGTTGGTATTGGGTGCCTGCCTAGTTTTAGTGGGTTGTTGTGTTTGTGTATGTGTGTGTGCACGTATTTGCGTGTGTGTGTGGTTTTAGACTCTGCTGCCGAGACAATATGTAGACGCGTTGCATGATGAGAGCTCGGATCTTTCAAAGATTAATGATTCATTTTCTTTTTCTTTTAAATGTTTTGCTTATTTCTGTCATATAGACACTATACGTTAAATTTAGCAAATCTAACAATAGATTGCATTAGATACATTTAATAGCTTGGTTATGTTTATATGATTCTTTTTAGTGTGTTTGATATTAGTCCGCTGTGTATTCTGATATCCAGATATTCGGTACAATAAGCAGTTTGTTGCTCTGTGTGTGTGTGTGTGTGTGTGTGTGTGTGTGTGTGTGTGTGTGTGTATGTGTGTGCGTGTATGGCACGTCAGGTTGTACTTTTTTGTTGGTCGAGGCTTCTTCCCTTTTATTTGTATTGTTTAATTTGTGTGAGGCTGGTGAATGACCTACACTACTTTTCAAAAGGTATTTTATTTTATTTTAAGAAATTAACACTTTTATTCAGCAAGGATGCATTAAATTGATCAAAAGTAAATGCATTTATAATTATAATGTTACAAAAGATTTCAATTTTCTGGAGAAAAAGACTGGAGTAATGACAGTCATCACAGGCAAAAATTACATTTTTAAAATATATCAAAATAAAAAAATACCAATTCATTTGACTGTATTTTTGATCAAATAATGCATCTTTGATTGGTTGTTCACAGTTGGGCTCCTGTGTGTGTGTGTGTGTGTGTGTGTATGTGTGTGCGTGTATGGCACGTCAGGTTGTACTTTTTTGTTGGTCGAGGCTTCTTCCCTTTTATTTGTATTGTTTAATTTGTGTGAGGCTGGTTACAGTGTCCCAACTTTTTTCAAAAGGTATTTTATTTTATTTTAAGAAATTAACACTTTTATTCAGCAAGGATGCATTAAATTGATCAAAAGTAAATGCATTTATAATTATAATGTTACAAAAGATTTCAATTTTCTGGAGAAAAAGACTGGAGTAATGACAGTCATCACAGGCAAAAATTACATTTTTAAAATATATCAAAATAAAAAAATACCAATTCATTTGACTGTGTTTTTGATCAAATAATGCATCTTTGATTGGTTGTTCACAGTTGGGCTCCTGTGTGTGTATTTACAGAACAGGCCTCCGGCAGTACAGGGCTCCCAGCACCAAAGCCAATCTCCAGCATGTATGAACCCAGCCCTGATGAGCTCCCCTTGGGTGAGACAGAAAAACAGGGGCCGCGCCATAACAAATCCTCTCTGTTTGTCGAGAACTGATGCGTTGCACTTTGTTGCATCTTCATTTGACACATTTTCACTGTTGTTTTAAAAAAATATCAAATGATAAAATAGATGACCATCCTGCTTTGATTGCATGCAGAGCAAACTATTTAAAATGTCTCTCTCTCTTGACCAGAGCATGTCAACAGCAGTGCTTTGCTTTAATTCCATGTGCATGCGGTTGCTCACAGAAAATATTAAACTTCACCATGCATCATGATTTCAGTCATTCTCAGTTCTTCAAATAATGATTTATTGGCTTGTTCATCTCACAGGGCACAGAACTCATTGGCTGAAAGTCATTACGTTGTTACATTTTGCTCTGCAGTGGATTGTGGGTTTTCTTTCTGCCCTTTCTCCTTTAGTTTTCTCTGCTTTTCTTTGTATGCCCATCTCTTCTTCTTTCTTTTCACACATATAGTACCGGTATCAGGATGAAGATTCCCCTCCTCCGGATCATGGCTTCCCTCGGCTCACCAATGAAGTTCGAGCACCGGAGCTGGTGCACGTATCGGAGAAGAACCTCTCAGAAATTGAGAATGTGCATGGCTACGTTTCCCACACTCACATTTCACCACTTAAGGTAAGTCACCCTTTCTCATACCATCCAATAAGTAACACGATGGCCCTCTTGACATTGCTGTCTTTCTTCTCCTCTCTTTTTTCATTTGTATGTCTGTGTGTTGGTCTGGTTGCCTCTATGAGTGTCCTGTTTTCCATGTCATGCTTTCATTCCTCACTCATTTACTAATTTTAAGAAATCTAAAGAAATAATTTTTATTTAATTTATTTTTTTATGTATTTATTGGAAAGAGTATGACCTGTAATGCAGACATTGATTAGAAGAATGTAGGTTATGGGTCAGTCTTCATTATATATAGTTCTAGAGCTGTGCTGAGCTGTGCTGTTGTGATATGACTTCTCAACACTAGATGGTGCTCAGTTTTTAGTTTAAAAGCAGGCTGATTGTAGCGGCATTATAGTAGACCTCCTTGACTGTGGCAGTAGGTAGGTTATTTTGTGCTGTGTTAGTCAGACACCGTAAAATCATCAGAAATAATTCTTTAACAAATATTGAATTTATGTTTCAGACATTCCACCTTTTAAATCCTAGTACAATTACAGAATTTATGTATTTATTGATTGATTGATTGAATTTGGAACAGGAATTTGGTATAAGTTATAAGTATAAGATTTATATGATACATTAAAAACAGCAGTATTGTAAAATATTACAACTTAAAATAACCGTTTTCTGTTTTAATATATATATAATTATTCAGTATGTACCTCAGTTTTGACATCACGGTTCGGTATGGTTTTGGTACAGCATTAAACAGTGGTTTACTGAACAAATAGCTCTTTCTTTAAGACATCACTAACAGGTAAAGTAAAATATAATGAGTGAGTAGTCTAATATTTTGCAAAATGCTCATCTCTAGACTTCATTTCTCTAGCAGACTAATGAGCTGTGGACACTGATGATTGATGAGGTAAATGAAATGCTACGTGACATTTTGTTTACAAGCAAAATTTTGTTTTATTGACATCTTTCCGGGTTGAAACGCTGATTAAGCGATTACATGAGATGTTCATTCATGTTTATTTCATGTGAAAACTAGTAGTAAAGAGGAAGGGATGATCACACTCACTTGAGGCATATATATATATATATATATATAACTTTATTTTTGCTTTTAATAAACTATAATTTGTTAAACATTTTCAAGAGGTTTAAAAGAGGGGGAATAGATGTTTCTGGCTTTGCTATATACAATAGTACATCATCTGCAAATACAGATATATATTGAGGTCTGCCATTAATTAAAATGGGGCCAATTTCGACATTCTGCCTGATACTTGTGGCCAAAGATTCCATCAGTAGTGTGAATAGATAGGGAGAAAGGGTGCAGCCTTGGCGTGTTGCTCTATGTAATGAAAACGAAACTGACAGTGTCTGATTTGTAAGGAGGACCGAAGCCTCCGGTTTAGCATATGTAATACTGATCCATTGAATAAATTTACTATTGAATCCTAACCTTTTAAGAGTAGCAAATGTATAAGGCCATTCAATTTGATCAAATTCAAGCATCAAGCATGCTTTTGTTGTACGTTTCGTATACATTATGTAATAAAGGCACCTCAGGTTTGACTATATATGCCTGTTTGGCATAAATACAGTTTGATCTTGAGTTATGATTGAACATATATATATTTTTTTCAGTCTGTTAGCCAAGATCTTACTAATAATATTTGCTTCTGATGGAATAAAAGAGACTGGGTGATACAAGGACACCTTCATTTTATCCCGTTCAGGCTTGGGTATTAAAACTATATTGACTTTATATAATGTGGGTGGAAATTTTAATTAGGAGACTGAATGATTAATCATACAAAGAAACATGGGGGCAAGAATCTCCCAGAACTTCTTATAAAGTTCTGTGCTAAACCCATCTGGGCCTGCACATTTATTGTTAGGGAGGTTCTGTTCAAATCATTTTTTTAACAATTTTATAACAATGTAGAAGTCTTTGCTGCCAATCAATTTAATGGATTTAAATAAAAGCTTACTGACCCCAAACTTTTAAACAATGGTGTATGTTTGTGGTTTATACAAATATTAATTAATTAATTAATTATTTTATTAAGAAAATATTGATAAATTAATTTCTAAAATTAAATAAATGAATTTAAATTTTAAAATATTTTTATGAGAAATGAGAAATGAATATCAATTCAATGGATACTTGATAATGTTACATTAAACATGTATTATCAAATAGTTTGTAAATAAATAAATAATCAATGTTTTTTGCCTCTTTGTGGATTTTGTAAAGTGTGCTGTATTCATGAAAAGTGCCAGATACAAAACATATCTATTTATTTCAGAATTGAAAGCTTTTGTTGCTGTTTTTCTGTGATCAGATGTGGCCCTGCTGGAGACACGCTCTCAGCCAGAGAGACATTAACAGCCTGTGCCTCATCTGATTGTCTGCAGATGATTCAAAAGCTCTGTGCTTTTATTCGATCTGAGGGAGTGTATGATTTTATTCCAGAGTGTATAGACCTGTCTAAAGCATTAGGCTCATCAGAATTCTGCACTGTCATCTCTTCTGCAGACAGTGTTTTAAGACCTCAGTCTTTCTATTTTGCCAACAGCCATTTCTCCCCCAGTCACACAACAACCTCTATCCTACAGATGTGATTTCTCAGAGCAAACTCTCGTCGACACTCAGGTGCAGAATGTTACTTGTCAGTAGGACTAAAAAAACCTGCACTGACCTACTCCTCTCACTTCCTGTTCCACAAAGCAAGGTGAGGGATACAGGAGAAAACACTGTCACACACAACACATATTCTTACATTCTTTCTGCGCTATTTTTAAGTGATTGGTTTATGTACACATTTATCGGACAAATGTCTTTAGTGGCCATGACGCATCTCACTGTTTTTTTCAGCATCTTACGCCACGAGTGTAGAATTTAAGATGGCGTGTAGGGTTAAATGCAGTTCAACTTTTCTTCTTGAGATCCCTGCATTCTGTTCAGTTCCTCTCTGTCTAGCTGTTTATGAAAGCAAGAGCGCACTCTGTGTGACAGCCTCAGATTGCTTTTACCATTCGTGTGCAGCAAGGGTCAGAAGGTCGTCTTAGGGGGTCAGGAATCAAAATAACCTTAAAAATCAAAGCCTCATCCTGCCATCTTTTGTTTTCCTTCCCCTCCTTACTTCCTCTCATGGTTCATGCAGTATGTCTGCCTTTCATCCTGTCTCCTCAGCCTCTCTCTTCCCTCCCTGAGTGCAGCCGACTTGCTGGTGACACTGTTTTGTATTTTCTCACCTGCAGCCTGCGCTGGTTACCCGGTTTGATCTAACATACCCGGGGGTGACCGCAGCAAACTACCTGGCAAGTTTGTGATCTATTTTGAATGTGTCTATTTTTCCCCGTTGTTGTTTTCTTGTTGTTGATGTGGTGGTTTTTGTTGTTGTGGTTCATTCGTGCTCAGGAACATTACATCTGTGCCAATATTCCGACACTGTGTGACATCCGCATGAAATTCTTCAGAGGGTCTGAATAACAGACTGCTGGGTTTTCAACCAGAACCTCCCTTTGAAGAAACCCATTTGTGCAGTGAAATCACATTTATTTTCTCCAAATATGGTTGACACAAGTGTAGTCAATTTATGTGATGTTCATCTTTTTGACTATTTTACCCGTGATGTTTGTTTTGGGGTGAATATGTCACTGCTGATATTTTGATGATGTTTATTGCAGATGAGGTACATAGACCATTGAGAGAAATCTTTGTTGGTTTCTGTTAGTGTGTGTGTCTGTGTGAATGTGCATCTCTGAAAGATCTACCAGTTCTCGCATTAGCAGTCATTGATCGTACAAAGCCTGTATGGCAGGTAGAGTTTGTGTCACACTTCTGGTATCACTCTGCCTTATCAGACCTTCCAGAAATTCTATATGCACACACACAGAAAAGTAAATACACACACACTTACACACACTTCAACCATCCTCTCGGCCTCTTCAGTCTGTCAGTTGTGCTAATGCTATGGCCTCAGTAGACCGTCTCCATGACAGCCCGTCCTCTCCATGTCTCCCTGCCCACGCCAGGGACGCTCCACCGAAGATTAGCTAACAGCTTCAACGTGTAGATCTGTCACACCTCAGGATTGAATGAGGTACAAGTTAATCCTGAAATAAACAAAAATGCAAGGAAGCATAGCTGCATCAATTGCTGTTGAGAAACTAGAGTATGCAGACTGTGTTTCTGTAGGAGGCATATGTTGTGGTCACACTAGTCTATAGATATGCAAAATTATAATATTATTTTTAATCATTTTAATTATTTGTAATATTACTTTAAATGCTTTTATTATTTAATATTATACTATTTATATGAAATGTTATTTTAAAAATAAATATTTTTATATGTATATAATGCTATATATTTAAATATATTGTAATTTATTTGTTTTTTATTATTTAACATCATATTTATAATAACAATATTAAAGGGGTGGTAAATCAGCTATTTTCAAAGGCTTGATTGTGTTTATGGGGTGCACTGTAATGTGTTAATGCTTAGTTAAAAAAATATATATTTTTCACATATTTTACCTTTATTCTACATGGCTGTTTCTATTCTCCTAAAAAAGGGCTGTTGACTTCCTGGTTCTCTGAAGCCCCTCCCTCAGAAATACGCAATGGGCTCAGATTGGTTAGCGTGATTTGCTAACCGCCTAGTGCACGTTGTCCAGAAACGTCACGCCCCCTTACCATTACCATGAAGTTGAATTGTATACATTTCATTATGTAATTAGACGTGCTTTTGATTGATAAAATGTAATTTAACCATTTAAAAAGGAGTCCAGAAAAATTTAAATGGAAAAAAAAACAGAATCCAAAAAAAATTTAATTTGGAAAAAATAAAAAAATAAATCAGAATGAGCTTTATTGCCAGGTATGTTTACACATACGAGGAATTTGTTTTCGTGACAGAAGCTTCCACAGTGTAACAGAATGACAGTGACAGAACAAAAAACACAGATAATAAAAAATAGAACAAGTAAATAAGGAATAAAAATATATAAATTGACAGTTGTATGTGCAGGTATATTACAATAGACAGTTTTTGTATGTACAGGTACTGTATATTATGTGCAAATTTGAGGTGTAGTCTGAGTATGTGTGTTAGATAAATAAGTGTATGAGTGAATAAATAGTGTGTGTTCCACAGTTATGTTAAGTGTTCATGAGATGGATTGCCTGAGGGAAGAAACTGTTCCTGTGTCTGGTCGTTCTGGTGCTCAGTGCTCTGTAGCGTCGACCAGATGGCAACAGTTCAAAGAGGGTGTGTGCTGGATGTGAGGGGTCCTCACATCCAGTAAAGGAATTTGGGAAATAAAGGAATTTGGGAAAAAATAAAACGTATTTCATAGGGCCCTAGCCTAGTTATTTATTTATTGTGGTAATTTGAAGGTTGTGTAAAAAAGTTGTTGTTTTAATCTAGTAGATAAATAGCTGTATTCTGTACGTTTTTACTCGTGTACGATAATTTTCTTCCAAATGCGATAATTTTGAGCTTCTGGTACGATACTTGGACATTTCCAATCTGGCAACACTGTTACCAATATCCATGCTTTTCATATAATCATTCTAACAAATGATACTACAGTCCACAAAGGGATTATTTGATTACAGACTGTGGATCTACAGTGATCGCTACTAACTGTATAGCACAGTTTGTTGTGTCTTTATAGAACGAGTGTAGCCAAATATCTTTTGCCAGAACTATGAGCCCATTATGAAGACTAACCATGGCTTTACTACAGTGGCCAAATCAAACACAGGACTATATTTAGCGTGCCTGTAGCTAAACGAGCATGTGGGTAAACACTACAGAAAAGCTGTAATCAAAGAATAATTTACACTGATCACATAAACGCCAACAAACACCAACATTCGAAGTTCGCTGTTGGAATTAAATACAATTTGTAGGTGTTTGTAGGCGTTTGTCGGATAAGTATGAATTAGCATTTAGCTAACTGGCTAGTGGAGCCAAACAGCGTTTTCTTTGTTTTCGTCCTTGCTACAACATAAAAATAACAATAGAAACTATGGTAACACTTTACATAAAGGTTCCCTTTATAAAGGGTTTATAAAGGTGTTCATGAATGACTAATAATTCATTTACAAATGTATTATAAATTGATAAGAAGTTATAAATGCATAAATAAAAAGGGTGATTTCACCTGACAAATATTGAGCCATTTTTATCTTGCATGTTATAAATGCTTAATAAATATTTTTATTTAGTCATACTTATTTCACTCAAAACCAGATTCCTGATTTATTTTATGATGCAGCAAAAATGTACTTTTATAGCGAGACTGAAGAAAAAAAGAAGAAAAAAAGTAAGAAAAGTGACACGAGTAAAGAGATATAAATTAGAAAAACCTAATAATACACCCTTCAGTCCCGCTATAATAGGCTTATTTTTGCTGCATCATGAAATAAATCAGGAAACCGGTTTTGAGTGAAATAAGTATGAATAAACTGTGTTAAGTTGTGGCCCATAAACAACAGCTTCTGCTTTTAAAGTGGGAACTGCTCTTTCATTCAGGACAAGCTTTTGTACAAATCCGGTACTGAACTCGCGTAGATTGAGGAAACTGTCCTTCGTAAAATGTGCAGCACAGAGAGCTATATTGGGATTATAATTTTCAGGAACCGAGTTAAAAATAAATTTTAACCATTGTTTCCTAAGTCCGGTGTCCCTAGGAAGGCCAAACAAAGAGGACCTGCAATCGAGGTGAAAGTAACAGCGTTTCGACGGCATGGCAGCAACACTCTACTAAATCAAATCTTCCTCTTCTCTAAAGCAGCCCAACAAGGCCTCACCCCCTTTGTTGTGTGTTCCCGGGGACAGGGTTTATGTAAATGGCAGGGTTTGTGATGTCACCAACCCAGGAAGAAGCTTGTTGTAGTAACTACCAGCTTTTGAATTCTGTAAAAGAAACTATCTACCTTTGCATTGAACTTTGAGCGTCGTAACTTGGCAGATGTTGTTTATGTTCAAACAGCAACATTGCACACTAAGTAAAAAAAAAAGTGAAATCATAATAAAGGACCCCTTTTAAATATTATTATATAATATGATGCTATTAATATTAAATATTATTTGGAAAAATATAAATAAAACATTTTTATTTAAAATGTCTATGTATTTTAAATTTCTAATAATTTAAATATTTATTAATGTTAGATTTATGATGACATTATTAAGTAATATTGAATATTATAATTTAAAATTATTAAAAATATATTTTTGGAAAAAAAAAATATATTAAATGCAATTACTATGTATTTTTTACATTTTACTAATATACTTATTTTTCAAATAATTATTTGCATGAATTCACAGGTCAGAGTTCACCAAACTTGAACCTTGGTATACAATATTTTTTTTAAATAAATATTTTAAAATATGCATATATTTTATGCATGTATTGAATACATACATACATACATACATATATATATACAGTGGTGTGAAAAAGTGTTGGCCCCCTTCCTGATTTCTTATTTTTTTGCATGTTTGTCACACTTTAATGTTTCAGATCATCAAACTAATTTAAATATTAGTAAAAGATAACACAAGTGAACACAACATGCAGTTTTTAAATGAAGGTTTTTATTATTAAAGGAAAACAAAATCCAAAACTACATGACCCTGTGTGAAGAAGTGTTTGCCCCCCTGTTAAAACTGGTTTATCACACCTGAGTTCAATTTCTCTAGCCACACCCAGGCCTGATTACTGCCACACCTGTTCGCAATCAAGAAATCTCTTAAATAGGAACTGCCTGACAAAGTGAAGTAGACGACGAGGGCGCTTGGTGACACTAGGGTGTGACTGGAGCAGAGATGGAAGGAAGTGACGTAGGATCAGGAAGTGAGCTGGACATAGAGGATGAATGTATTGGCGGGGAGAAAGGAGGTAAAAATGGAAATTGGAACATAGTAGAAAATCGGAACCACTGTATATATATATATATATATATATATATATAGTATGACCCCACCTTTAGCCTCAGACGGCACACATTTATGAATCGTTTAAAGCACATTTTAAACAAAATATCCTTGAGCAAATCTGTATATTCATATGTACATGTTGACCAGATGAGTCATTCCTGTCCAAGTGAGCAGTTTTTGGCCAGAATAAGTTGAGGACAAGACTTTGTATAGATGGTCAAAAGTCTCTCTGCATGAGACTAATAGAAGCTCTCAGTCTGGATGCACTCTATTCAACAGCCAAACTTGTTGATTAAATCTCTATCGACTTTCTCTGCATGTATATTCTAGCCTTGTCATCCCCTCGTGGCTCGGAGAG